TTTTTTTTTTTTTTTGAGACAAAGTTCTTGCTCTGTCTCCCAAGCTGGAGTGCAGTGGCGTGATCTCAGCTCACTGCAACCATCACCTCCTGGGTTCAAGCAATTCTCCTACCTCAGCCTCCCGAGTAGCTGGGATTACAGGCACACACTACCATGCCTGGCTAATTTTCATATTTTTAGTAGAGACAATGTTTCACCTTGTTGGCCAAGCCCGGCTGTAGCCATCCTCTGTCCAGGAGGCAGAGGTTGCAGCGAGCTGAGATCACGCCACTGTACTCCAGTCTGGGCGACAGAGCAAGGCTGTTTCTCAAATAAAGAGCGAGAGAGACAGCAAGCGTGCACAAGTCGAGGTGGGCAGATCATAAGGTCAGGACATCGAGACCATCCTGGCTAACATGGTGATACCCTGTCTCTACTCAAAATACAAAAAATTAGCTGGGTGTGGTGGCAGATGCCTATAGTCCCAGCTACTTGGGAAGCTGAGGCAGGAGAATCCTTGAACCTGGAAGGTGGAGGTTGCAGTGAGCCGAGATTATGCTGCCGCACTCCAGCCTGGGTGACAGAGAAAAAAAAGAAAAAGGAAACACACAGGACACATGCGTATGCAGAAGCATCTGTACCTCCTGCAGCGCCCTCTGACGCAGCATTTTATTTCCTGCTTTCTTCCATTTCATCTTGTTGAGAATGCCGGTCAGGACCCACTGGGTTGGTCCAGGACCGAGCAGGCTGCTGTGCCGTCTCTGACCTGTGTTCTCTGTTCAGGTGTACCGCTGGGCCGACCACTCAACCACCGTGCTGCAGCGGCTGAACGAGCAGCGTCTCCGCGGCCTCTTCTGCGACATCGTCCTGGTGGCCGATGAGCAGCGCGTGCCAGCCCACCGTAACCTGCTGGCAGTGTGCAGCGACTACTTCAACTCCATGTTTACCATTGGCATGCGGGAAGCTTTCCAGAAGGAGGTGGAGCTGATCGGCGCCTCCTACATCGGGCTCAAGGCCGTGGTGGACTTCCTGTATGGCGGGGAGCTGGTGCTGGACGGCGGCAACATCGACTACGTCCTGGAGACGGCCCACTTGCTGCAGATCTGGACAGTGGTGGACTTCTGCTGTGAGTACCTGGAGCAGGAGGTGAGCGAGGACAACTACCTGTACCTGCAGGAGCTGGCCTCCATCTACAGCCTCAAGCGGCTGGACGCCTTCATCGACGGCTTCATCCTGAACCACTTTGGCACGCTGTCCTTCACGCCCGACTTCCTGCAGAACATCTCCATGCAGAAGCTGTGTGTCTACCTGAGCAGCAGCGAGGTGCAGCGGGAGTGTGAGCACGACCTCCTGCAGGCCGCCCTGCAGTGGCTGACGCAGCAGCCGGAGCGCGAGGCCCACGCCCGCCAGGTGCTGGAGAACATCCACTTCCCGCTCATCCCCAAGAACGACCTCCTGCACCGTGTCAAGCCGGCTGTGTGCTCGCTGCTGCCCAAGGAGGCCAACTGCGAGGGCTTCATCGAGGAGGCCTTGCGCTACCACAACAACGTGGCGGCCCAGCCCGTCATGCAGACCAAGCGCACGGCGCTGCGCACCAACCAGGAGCGCCTGCTGTTCGTGGGCGGCGAGGTCTCCGAGGGGTGTCTGGAGCTCAGTGACGACACCTGCTACCTGGACGCCAAGAGCGAGCAGTGGGTCAAGGAGACGCCGCTGCCCGCCCGGCGGAGCCACCACTGTGTGGCGGTGCTGGGGGGCTTCATCTTCATCGCCGGCGGCAGCTTCTCACGGGACAACGGAGGGGATGCGGCCTCCAATCTTCTTTATAGGTATGACCCCCGCTGTAAACAGTGGATCAAGGTGAGATTAAAGCCAGATTATTTCTTTTCTCTTGAGGACTCTCTCGGTTTTCTTAACCTAGCCTTGACTTTCCTTACCTGTCTGGGGCCTTGACAACTCTCCTGCCTCTGAACGAGATGTGATGATAAAGCGACAGGTGGCATGCCCCGGGCCCACACACTGGACAGGGGGCGGGGGAGCTACTCAACCCCCTTCGAGGGGGGCCTGTCATTGTTCAGAGCAGTGCTGCCTGGTGGGGCTTTATGTGTGAATAGAAGGGCCTTTGTCTGCACTTCCCAATACGGTAGCCCCCAGCCACACGTGGCGACTGAGCACCTGAAATGTGGCTGCTGTGACCAAAGAAGTCAGTTTTCAATTTTATTTCACTTTAACTGATTGGCGTGTAAGTGTATACGGCCACACGAGGCACGGAGGCCATATTGGGCAGTAGCATGGGTTTAGATATTTGATCCGTGGTTCAGTGTCCCCAGGTACTGGAGTCCCTGCGGGGCTCCTCTGGGAGCATTTTGGGAGGTAGTTTAAGGAGGCCTCTAGGGCTCACGCCTGTGGTTGGGCATGTAGTGTGGCCTGATTCTGGGAAGAGCGTGGGCCGCTGCCCTTTCAGGGCCTGGGGTGGTGGGTGCGGTAGCTCATGTTGATTGGCAAGCCCCTGGTGTAGGGAAGGTGTCTGCCTTCTGCTGGAGCACTCTCCAGTCCCCCGCTCCCTGGGACAATCCATCTCAGCCTTTGTACTCACACCTCAGCCCCACCCCCAGCTCAGTGCTGCTTGCAGCTTGAGACTCAGTTAGAATGGACTCCAGCTGACCTTTTGATTTTATTCTCAGAAATCTGAGACCACCCTCCAAGGTCAAAGTCTCCTTACTAGAAAGGGAGAAAGGGGTCCCTGGCTTTGGATCCTCCTCCCCAAAGATTGGCAGCAGTGGCAGCCTGAGCCCCTCCCGTGGGGCCTTGCTCCCTGTGTGTTCTGCTTGGATTTTTTTTTTTTTTTTTTTTTTTTTTTTTTTTTGAGACGGAGTTTCACTCATGTTACCCAGGCTGGAGTGCAATGGCGCGATCTCGGCTCACCGCAACCTCCGCCTCCTGGGTTCAGGCAATTCTCCTGCCTCAGCCTCCTGAGTAGCTGGGATTACAGGCACGCACCACCATGCCCAGCTAATGTTTTGTATTTTTAGTAGAGACGGGGTTTCACCATGTTGACCAGGATGGTCTCGATCTCTTGACCTCGTGATCCACCCACCTCGGCCTCCCAAAGTGCTGGGATTACAGGCTTGAGCCACCGCGCCCGGCCTGGATTTGTTTTTTTAAAAAAGGACAGAGGACAGGTGTGGTGACTCACGCCTGTAATCCCAGCACTTTGGGAGGCTGAGGCGGGCACATCACTTAAGGTCAGGAGTTCAAGACCAGCCTGGCGAATATGGTGAAACCCTGTCTCTACTAAAAAAAAAACAAAAAAATTGGCTGGCTGTGGTGGCTCACGTTTGTAATCCCTGCACTTTGGGAGGCCAAAGCAGATAGATCTCAAGGTCAGGAGTTTGAGACCAGCCTGGCCAACGTAGTGAAACCCTATCTCTACTAAAAACTTCATCTTTACAAAAAATTAGCCAGGTGTGGTGACAGATGCCTATAATCCCAGCTACTCGGGAGGCTGAGGCAGGAGAATCACTTGAACCCAGGAGGTGGAGGTTGCAGTGAGCCAAGATCAGGCCACTGCACTCCAGCCGGGGCAACTGTGGGAGAATCCATCTCTAAATAAAAAGCAAAAATTTAAAAATTAAAAAAAAAAAAAATTAGCTGGGCATGGTGCACACCTGTAATCCCAGCTACTCAGGAGGCTGAGGCAGGAGAATCGCTTGAACCTGTGGTGAGCCGAGATTGTGCCACCGCACGCCGCACTCCAGCCTGGGAGACAGAGTGAGACTCAGTCTCAAAAAAATAAAAAAGTTGGCTCTTCTACTTTCTTTTTCTTTTTTCTTTCTTTCTTTCTTTTTTTTTTTTTGAGACACGGTTGTTTTGTTGCACAAGCTGGAGTGCAGTGGCTCAATCTCAGCTTACTGCAGCCTCCGCCTCCCAGGTTCAGACAATTCCGGTACCTCAACCTCCCAAGTAGCTGAGATTACAGGTGCCCACCACCATGCCTGGCTAACTTTTGTATTTTTAGTAGAGACGGGGTTTCACCATGTTGTCCAGGTTGGTCTCAAACTCCTGACCTCTAATGATCCACTCACCTTAGCCTCCTGAAGTGCTGGGATTACAGGTGTGAGCCACTGCACTTGGCCTCTTCCGTTTAATTTCCTGTTGAATGCCATGTCCTGCTCTGTTTTAACATGAATGGCTGTCAGGACTAATTTTAAAAATCTGATGCGGGGAGGCAAAGGATGAATTTTTATTTCAGAAAACCACCAGATCAGCAGTTCTGAACCCCGTGTCCCACAGAGTTCCCATCCACAAGGCAGATCACATGACCAGACAAGTTTGGGGATTCAGAGCATCTCCATCCCCCTTTTGGGATTCAGGGTGTCTCAGGGAAACCTTAGGGGCTCAGAGCTGCCACCTGAAAAAGGCCTTTTATTCAGGTGCATTTTCCTTTGCCAAACTCACGTGGCTACCGTCTCACTCTCCGGGGCTATGTATTCCGCAGACACATTTGGGAAACGTAGCTCCAGATGTTAATGCTGTTTCGTGTTCGGGGAAGGGAAGGTACAGGTGTCTCACTTCCACAGGTGGCCTTCATGAACCAGCGCCGCGTGGATTTCTACCTTGCCTCCATCGAAGACATGCTTGTGGCCGTCGGTGGCCGGAATGAGAACGGAGCTTTGTCTTCAGTAGAGACGTACAGTCCCAAGACCGACTCCTGGTCCTACGTGGCTGGCTTGCCAAGGTGATCTGGGGCTTGAAGGAAGGCTCTCCAAGCGGGATGGTTTTAGGGACATAGTTCAGTGCATGTGCCTCACATTCTGGGCATGTTGGCTTCCAGTTCCAGGAAAGAAATCTTCTGGTTTATCGGTAGCAGCAAGTACATGATGAGGGGCAGAGGGCATGGTGGTGCGCAGTCAGGGCTCTGGTTTCAGACTCAGGGCAAGGGTCAGCTCTGCCACCATGACAGACGGGCGTCCCTCCATGGCCCGAGTCTGTGCCTTCACCGACTTTCAGAGGGTGAGGGACTGACCTGAGGACTTCCCTGACGTTGCCTAGGAGGAACTCAAAGAGATGCTGGCATCTGTGCTAGATCTAAGATGCAAGCATGGGTCTTCACCCCGCTCAGTCTTCAGTTCCTCATCTGTAGAGTGAGGTGATCCTCATGCCTGCTCCGCAGCACTGCCGTGCAGAGCAGACGCGGTGCCGCTTGTGAACCTGCGTCCACGTGCAGGGAGTGCCCCAGGGTGGCCCTCACCCTCCTCAGTCTCCCTGAGGCCAGATGTGCACGTATCGAGCGTTTGTTATCGTCATGGGATTAGCAGAAGGTGCACACCATTTGTTCCACCAGTTCCCTGTTGCTGTACCCAGCAGCGGACTTTTGGAACCAGCCTTTGCTGTGGCATACATCCCAAGACGTAGAAGTGTGCGCGTTAAGCACTCGTGTTTTTGTTTTTCTTGTTTTGAGATGGAGTCTCACTCTGTCACCCAGGCCGGAATGTAGTGGCACAGTCTCTGCTCACTGCAATCTCCGCCTTTCAGGCTCAAGCCATTCTCCTGCCTCAGCCTCTCGAGTAGCTGAAACTACAGGCGCACACCACCATGCCCAGCTAAGTTTTGTATTTTTAGTACAGACGGGGTTTCACCATGTTGGTCGGGCTGGTCTCAAACTCCTGGCCTCAAGTGATCTGCCCACCTTGGCCTCCTAAAGTGCTGGGATTACAGGCGTGAGCCCCTGCATCTGGCCTTATTGATCCATTCTTATTCACTGGTTTGCATGATGGTTCCCACTTCCTGGCACAGTTTTGTGGGTTTTGAGGAGCGCAGAGCAACATGTATCCACCATTATACCATCATGGAGAATCATTTCACTGCCCTAAACGCCCCCCGTGCAGTCCCCATCCAACCCTACCTTCCCTCTCGCCACGGCCCCTGGCAGCCACTGATTTTGCGGTCTCTATGGTTTAGGCGAAACTTTTCCCAAGCTCCAGCACAGTTAGAATTGTACCGTACGTCAGATTCCCTCTCTGATGTGTAATTCACTGGGTGTGTGTGGGCCTGCTAGCGCATCGTTCTCGTCATTTCCAGCCATTGTGAAAGGGTGATGGTCCTGTGACTATCCCCATTTCCCAGATGGGGTGAGGGAAACTCAGAGAGGGTAGAGCTGGGTTCTGGCTCAGGTGGCCTGACTGCAAAGCTGTCTACTTCCCTGCCCTTACCTGCCATTTCTTGGCTAATGACAGCTGCTGTCTAGAAAGTATTCATGGGCTGCCCACTCCCAGTATTCTTAAATCCTCATGGCCCCCTAAGACCGCAGGCCGTTCCCAGGCTCAGGGAGGGTAAGCCTGGCACAGCCCTGAGCTCGTTCTCTCTCTCTCTCTGTGCCCGTCGACTCTGCAGGTTCACGTACGGCCACGCGGGCACTATCTACAAAGACTTCGTGTACATCTCGGGGGGCCACGACTACCAAATCGGCCCCTACCGCAAGAACCTGCTGTGCTATGACCACCGGACGGACGTGTGGGAGGAGCGGCGGCCCATGACCACGGCGCGTGGCTGGCACAGCATGTGCAGCCTGGGCGACAGCATCTACTCCATCGGCGGCAGCGACGACAACATCGAGTCCATGGAGCGCTTCGACGTGCTGGGCGTGGAGGCCTACAGCCCGCAGTGCAACCAGTGGACCCGCGTGGCACCGCTGCTGCACGCCAACAGCGAGTCGGGCGTGGCGGTGTGGGAGGGCCGCATCTACATCCTGGGTGGCTACAGCTGGGAGAACACTGCCTTCTCCAAGACCGTGCAGGTGTATGACCGCGAGGCCGACAAGTGGAGCAGGGGCGTCGACCTGCCCAAGGCCATCGCCGGGGGGTCTGCCTGTGTCTGCGCCCTGGAGCCGCGGCCGGAGGATAAGAAGAAGAAAGGCAAAGGCAAGAGGCCCCAGGACCGGGGCCAGTGACCCCACCGTCACCTCCCAGGCCCCTGTAGACCAGCAGCGACTTCTTAGAATTCTGGAAACATTATGTACAACTTAGCAGCTTTTTTTACTTTTATGATTCTTGGTATTTCTATGATATCACAGTAACCAATTAAATACTCTCTATAACTTCACATAATCTTGCTTGAATAACTAACCCTGGTCCCAGGCAGTGAGCAACCCCTTGTACCTTTGCAGGTCTTTGTCCCATGTTGCCATTCCTCTTTGGGTCCTTCCTCACCGTCCCCCCGAGAGTAGCTGGCACTTGGGTTACTCAGAAATTTTTGTAGTGAAGCTTGCGGCCTCAAAGGGATATATATCTTAGATCACCTAGTCCAAGCCTCCCCAAACCTAACTGAGCTTTTAAGAGCACTGATTCCTGAGCCCCCTCAGAATTATGGAATCCAGAACCACCAGGAGCAGGGATAGGGTGGAGCCCAGAAACTGTATTTTAACTGGTTCTTGGAATTCTGGGCATCAGCCACATCTGGGAATCACTGGCAAGGTCAGGTGTGTTTGTTTTATGAGTGATAGGGCAGAGACTCCCAGGAGGGTGGGTGGGTGAGGGAGTGAGGGAGTGACGGGGGCCACAAAGCTCCCCGGACCGTCAGGTGAGCTGTGGCAACTTCCCAGCAGGGAGCCGTTCTCCATAGCAGGTGAACGTTGCTTCTGAATAATTCCAGCTTTCCTCATTGGAAACCTTCTTGAATTCTAAAAGGTTACAGGCAACCAAGAATGAAGATAGGTATGAAGCTCTTTAGAAATATTATTCTGTAATTGGTGCATTTTCTTCCTCTTGCTTTCTTTCTTTTTTTTCTGAGCTCACTATCTTTTGTATTACTGATGTACTCAGCTCCCCACATCTGTTTATTTCTCAGGAAGGAAAAAGTGATCGCTACAGAATTTGTGATTGTTCCCTGACTCTATCTCGAGGCACCGTGTGGATCCCTGAGAAGGCAGTGGAGGTCCCCCCCAACTCCCATGCCAGGTCTCGCCCCAGTTTTCTGCTGCTAAGTAGATTCGTGCTGCTGGGCAAATTCTTGAAGAAATAGGCTTGTTCCCTCATCCCCCTTGCCACAGGGTTAGATGAAATGCCCTCCAGGCCCTCAGGGCGTCAGGGCTCCTCAGTCTCTCTGAGCTGTTCACACCCTGATGGCATCCCTTTTAGGATGCACTGACACCTCCTAGAGCAGGTATCAGTGTCGATTTCCCTTTAGGAGGGCTCTGGGCTGCCCGAGTGGATGAGAAATGTGCAGAACTATGGGAGGACAGGAGTGTGGTGGGTTTTAAGCATGGGCCAAGGAAGGCGTGAATGAGCTGAAGGCAGAGATCAGAAAACTTCAAGATGGGCTTCATCTTCATTCCTAGTCTATCACCAGTCTTCCTGCAGACAGTTCTGGGAGCAGGTATCAATGTCGCTTGCCCTTTAAGAGGGCTTTCAGCAGGCCAACTGGTTGAGGATCAATGTGTTAAGATTGATACTAGACAAGGATAAAAATCGTAGTTAACATTTATTTCCATTTCTTCTGCTTCTTTACGGCGCCTCCTTTCCCTTCTCTGCAGGGTTTACTGTGTTTCCATTGGTCTGTTTCTGTAGCCATACAGGAGAGAGGAGAGCGTTTGGGGGACTGAAAGCTTCAATAGCCAAGTGCCTGCCCTCCACTGTGAGTGCGGTGAGCAACAGCGGTGAGCAGTCTGCGTCTTTAGCTAGCTGGTCATTTGCATGTGAAGTCCCTGGAGGCGGACAGACTGTTGAGAGGCTGTGCGAGGCAGACAAAGCCAAAAGCTGTGAACTCTGGAGCTCTGCAGCGCTGGCGTATGAAAGGCTCTGAGAAGTCCTGCATTCGTTTACCCTTCCATTAACCCAGCACTTCCCAACTTCTTTGAGCCTGAAATTCTTTTTTGTCTCGTACCTAGTCCCAGGCCCCCACAAAACGTGTTTTGCAGAACTTCTGCCGACTTTGGGATAGCTCACCTCCTTCCTATTCTGGAAAGGTTTTACTGCTTAAAGACGCCCCAGAAGGTAGGAAGTGGTACACGCAGCCTCTCCTCCCCCGCTCAGCCTAGGTCATGAACAAATGGGTGGTGGTTTGACCTGAATCTCGGGCCGCTGGGGAAAGCACATAGAAAGACTCTGTGAGTGATTTGGGGAGAGGATAGCTTTGACCCCAGGAGGGGAGGGCCACTGGTTTTTAGCCTAAGCCAACTCGTTTGTGTTTTGCTTCTGGGACTTGTCCCTGGAGATGTGTGAACTGCTGGCTTCCATTCTGATTTTCTTGTGCCTCGTGGGTTACATGCGACATCCTGTGCCTAAAATTTTGTGGTCTCTCCTGAGACTATTAAGGTGGTTTGTAATTTACTTGACTTGGAATCTAGTATTAATCAGGTTGGCAGCACTCCTTAGGAGAATAAACCGGTTTCATCTTGTCGGCCAACTTCTAATATCTGTTGGTGACTACACTGTGACAAGAAAGGTTTTTGAGCTTGTTGGGGTCAATAGATGGGCACAAGGGTGCCACGTGGTAGTACCTGGGGCAGGGTTTTGTTACTTGTGTTTGTGAGTTGAAAAGTCACTCTGCTGTGCAGTCTAACTGAAAATGGAAGAGACCGCGCCTGGGCAACATGGCAAAATCCCATCTTCACAGACAAATATATATATAAAAGATTAGCCAGGGATGGTGGGACATGCAGCAGTCCCAGCTACTTGGAAGACTGAGGTGGGAGGATCACCTGAGCCTGGGAGCTCACCTGCAGTGAGCTATGATCATACCACTGCACTCCAACCTGGGTGACAAAGTGAGACCCTGTCTCAAAAAAATAAAATGGTGCTTAACTCCGATGGGCAGAGTTTGGGCTGGACCTATGCAGTGGCCCTTTGAACTGCGCAGTCACGATAGTAGGGCTTCAAAGCAGAGTGGCGAAGGCACAGGCTCCTGCGGGCTGCCATTTTGAGATGGAAAGAGCCACGCGTGTCACCCTGTTGTCAAACTGTCCGTGTTGTTAAACTGTCCGTGCTTCCGGCTGTTCTGCGGGAATTTTGAGGACACCTGGATCTTTTTTATTTTTTAAATCTTTCAAAAGAAGCCTGGCAGGCTTCTATTTAGGTTTGGGCTTTTCTCATTTCTAAAGAATTAAAGTTGTAACTTCATGTTAGTTGCAAGTTTGGGGTTTGGTCCTTACCCAAGTTGGAAAGCTGTTTGCTTAAGACATAAATGTATTACCCTAACAGAAGGGAGGCAGTAGACAGCTGATGAACCCTTGTTGCTTATAGCGATCTTTCTGCTGTTTAAAATGCACAGAGATTATTTTATCACCTTACTGTACTTGGCATGAAATTGGTATTTTTATCCTTCCGCCATTCTATTGAGGCCACCAAGTGGGACTTCAGACCTTGCTCTGAGCAGAACCACATGTGTGTATTTTTATTGAGTGCCCCCACTCATGATAAGATGACCTCATAGAGATCCAGAAACTAACCCTAAGGGGTGTTCAGCTTTGAGGTGGGCACCCAAATGATGAGGGGGAAGTGGGGATCATCCTCTGAAGTCCAGGGTCGTACTTTGTGAGCTCAGGTGTGTTCACCTGTGGTTCAGTGTACCTTGGCCCCTAAGCCAAGTGACCATTCAGTGACTTGCAGCAATTGGGAAGTGAAAGGACCTCTGCCGCCCCCAACCCCCTGTAAAGCCGCTGACCTTCACCCTTCACCCTGGTCCTCCATGGTGTAGCAGCATCTCACGGGCCTTGTGGCTCTCAGAGTTTGTGGCTGGAACCCGCCTGGAGAGGCAGGTGTGGATGAGGTTTGGACCTCCTGTGTCTCCATGGACTCTGAGTGCCTGGGAGGGGAGGGAAGGGCGTGGCATCCTGGCCTCCAGGATGAATGCCTGGGGTATAGGGCAGCGCCACGGGCATGTGGAGACCCTGTCCTGTGCCTCTGCCAAGCCTGGCAGTTTTAAGAGTTTTTTGAAATGTTTTGATACTTTTTGATACAATTTGCTAATAACCATTTTGTAGAATGCCTGCCGGGGTTTTCCACCTCATCCCCTTCCTCCAGCCCCTTGATTTGTGCTGGACGACACATGGCCAGTGGTCTGCACTAGGATCTCGCCCCCTGTGGCTTTGTCTTGGATCTTGCCCTTTGTCGCTGATCCAGTACAACTCTAGAATTTTGTGAATTTGCATGCAAAGTCGCACGCGGCCCGTGGGTATGACTGTCTCAGACCCTCAGCTGATTTGCCAAGAGGAAACCTTAACTCCCTTGAGAGGGTCTGGGTTTCTTCCAAAGCTCCTACCTCAGTGGTGTGCACAGAGCTGGAGAGACACCTGAGGGCTGGTCCATGTCTCATCTTTGCCATACGGGTCACTTCTTGATCAATATATGACTGGGGTCCTGGTTTACTCCCGTCCACCCTTTCTTTTAAAGTATTCTTAACATGAAATCCACAGAAACAGTGAACCATTCTTGCACTTTACAGAATCATTGTCTTTAGCTTTAGAAGCTGTTAATTTCTTGTTGTTGTTTTTAACATGAATAGTATGTGTGGCTTCTGAAGGTGTGTGGGGGTGTCAAGAAATTGTCCTTTGCGGCCGGGCAAATTTGTCCCAAAGTGCCGGGCAACCTGTAATCCCAGCACTTTGGGAGGCCGAGGCGGGTGGTTCACCTGAGGTCAGGAGTTTGAGACCAGCCTGGCCAACATGGTGAAACCCTGTCTCTACTAAAAATACAAAAAATTAGCAGGACTTGGTGGCAGGCATCTGCAGTCCCAGCTGCTCGGGAGGCTGAGACAGGAGAATCGCTTGAACCCAAGAGGCAGAGGTTGCAGTGAGCTGAGATCACACCACTGCACTCTAGTGTGGGTGAGAGCGAGACTGTCTCAAAAAAAAAAAAAAAAGAAAAGAAAAGAAATTGTCCTTTGGTTGCCTTAGTTACTAGAGTTGAATGAATGTACACATTTGGTATTGGGGGGCCGGTGGGGCAGGGGGAGCAGAGCAGATAGATAACCCCTTCCTTGTCTATTTCCTTGGAGAAAAGAGACTCCACCTTTTCAAAGTGACTTAAAGCCATCTTTACAGATAGCTTGTAATGTAAGCAAGGAGTCATGTCCTTTGGATTGATTGAGGTTAAATCATCAACCACAAGCCGCCTTTCCAAATCAGCGAGATATTTGATGATTGTGATTAATCGGGTCTGTTCTGGCTGCTGATGTTACTGAAATCTGCAATCGTGTGTGTTTTTTAATTTGTTGCTTTTGTATTTGTGATTTTATGACATTCGAAGTTATTCTGTGTCTTAACTCTTTTTAATTAATTTTCTGCACGTTGCTTTTTTCTTTGTTTTTAATTCCATACAGAGTATTCAATTCTTGAAACACATTAAAATAATTTGCTTGCTAGAGTATGGTTTATTTTATAATTACGTTCCTAGTCTTGTGTGGTTACTGTAATGCTCTCTGGTCCTAATTTCTCTGCCCATATGAAAGAAAGAACCCCTTGCATGTTGATCCTAAATATAATTTGGAAATTAACCAGACATCCTTTTAGTGTTGTGGGAGGCTGGGACATTTCAATTCTGCTTTCATTGTGTTTCTAATTACTGTATTTTGCCAGGAATTTCATTCAGATCCTTGATTGCAGCGATAAGTCCCCATGACCCGAAATGAAACCATTTGCTTAGATGCGTGTCAATTGGGGTAATTTGATTAGAAACACAGAAGCTAAGGGAAACAGATTATGGCAAGTAGTGCGCTATCTCTATCAGAAAAATGCAGTCACAATACTATAAGAACAGAGCCAGCTGTTTCCCTTCTGGCGCTCTCCTGCCTTGCCGGGGTTTTGCAAGGCCCGCAGCAGACAAGCCCAGTCACAGTTGTGTGCCCTTTCCCTGTCGGGACGGTGCAGGAGGGGTACCTGCACAGCCATCACACCTGGTAAGGTGGTTGGAATTTGCCTCTGAGCCAGCGAGCCCCAAACAAGACTTGCCAGATGCTGACTTCCTCACCTGGGCTCTTTCCCATCCGCTTCAGAAGCATCTCAGGCTGCGTTGGTACTCTCCCCATTTTCCAGGTGAAGAATCCAAAGCTCAGGTTAATTACTTACCCCAGTTGAATTATCTTCCCTGCCCAGCCCGTCAGTCATTGCCTTGGTTTGGGTTCTCTCTCTCTGTCTTTTTTTTTTTTTTTTTTGAGACGGAATCTCGCTCTGTTGCCAGGCTGGAGCGCAGTGGCGCAATCTCAGCTCGCTGCAACCTCCACCTCCCAGGTTCAAGCGATTCTCCTGCCTCAGCCTCCTGAGTAGCTGGGATTACAGGGGAGCACCATCACGCACAGCTAATTTTTGTATTTTTAGTAGAAATGGGGTTTGACCCATCTCTACTAAAGATGGGTCAAAAAGTTGGCCAGGATGATCTCGATCTCCTGACCTCGTGATCCACTGCGTACCTCAGCCTCCCATATTATTGGGATTACAGGTGTGAGCCACTGCATCCGGCCAGTTTGGGTTCTCTTGAATGCAGAACCTTAGACCAGGACTTGGATACAGGTAGGGTTGTGAGGTGTTGCCAGGGAAGCCAGAATGCCGGGAGAAAGGAGGAAAGGCCCACAAGGAGGTGCTTTATTGCTGAGTAACAAACCAATCCCAAGCCACAGCTTCCGACAATATTTGTCATGGTGGACGACTGCAGGTGGATTGGGCTGAGCTCGGCGGCTCTCCCCGAGGCTCCTGCATGGTCACATGGTCATGGACAGGTAGTGGCTCTTGAAGGCAGGAGAACACACAGAGGGCTCCTCCAGCATCTCCCTCTCCCTTCCTTCCCTCTGCCTCTCCCTGCCTTCTCTCCTTATTTCCCCTTCTCTTCCCTGCCCCCCAATCTCTTTCTCTTTCCCTCCTTGTCCATTTTGGTCTCACTCTTTCTGGTCTCTTTATATGGTGACCTCACCTAGATTGCTTACATGGCAGCCAGAGGCTCCCAGAGCAAACGTCCCAAGTGGAATGAGCAGAGACCCCATGGCTTCTTCCAGCACCGCCTGGGAAGTCAGGGTCTTTGTTTGCTGCATGTCACCCCCTGAGGCCATCAGAAAAACTCCCCCAGGTTCAGGGTTGCTGGCCCCGTGGGAGATGTCAGCCATGTCCACTCCCCAACCCTGAAATCCTGTCTCTAAAACACAGAGGAGCCGGGCCCAGTGGCTCACACCTGTCATTCCAGCACTTTTGGAGACGTAAGCTGGGGGATCGCTTGGACCCAGGAGGTTGAGCCTGGGCAACACAGGGAGACATCTGACTCTACAAAAAAATTTATTTTAAGACAGAGTCTTGTTCTGGCACCCAGGCTGGAATACAGTGGCATGATCTCAGCTCACTGCAACTTCCACCTCCTGGGTTCAAGCGATTTGCCTGTCTCAGCCTCCCGAGTAGCTGGAATTACAGGCACGAGCCACCACACCCACCTAATTTTTGTATTTGTAGAGATGGGGTTTCACCATATTGGCCAGGCTGGTCTCAAACTCCTGACCTCAGATGATTGGACCACCTCGGCCTCCCAAAGTGCTGGGATTATAGGTGTGAGCACCGCACCTGGCCAAAAGAATGTTTTGTAATTAGCCAAGCATAGTAGCTCACACCTGTAATCCCAACAATTTGGGTGGCTGAGGC